GGGAAAGCAATAGCTTTTTGGCTCCAAAAATCTTTAAGATTAATTCCTGTCTCGAATGTATCCTTGCAGTTACTATCATGTTGCATTTCAATTAACTCTTCTTGTATTTCATCTGTCACCTCAGAAATGTTGACTATGAAAGGATTGCAAATCAGTTTCCGAATACCTTTTTCCTGTTTCCTGTCCTTATCAAGTTTCCTGTCCTTGCAGTCAGGAAAATAGCGATTGAATTCATTTTTCAAGCTTTGCAAATGGAATGTAATGTTCTTTTGTATTTGTCCTTTAATCTCAGCACACTGTCAATCAATAATTGGGTTCAATGTATCAAACGCAGAAAAATTTTCTCTTTTGACTTTGCTGATCCATAGGTCGATTTTAGCGATAAATGCACTGATTTTATCTTCAAATGCAAATTTATTGCTAGTGACTTCCAGTTTCATATTATCTGACCACGCACCATACCCCAGCCCAGTTCGCTATCAGCTCTAACCTTGACGTACTGCGCATTGTCATCAACGCGTCGTCATTTATTTAATAATTTTGGGATAACTTTTGTGGACCACTTCAGATGCTTTCAGGGACCACAGGTTAAGAACCACTGGTGTAGATAGAGGATACAATCATAAATGACTAGCTGTAAATTTGAATGCAAAGCAAATATTTCTAATTTTCAATAGGATTTTATGACTTTTGAACAATCCTGACTTGTAAATAAGACATTTATGGCACCTAAATGTTTGATTTTATTTGTTAAAAACATTTCAGAAATGTTTTTAACAAATAAGAAACAATCATTTTTGACATTTTATTTCTCTTTGCTGATATAAAAATATTATTACCATATAATATAGAGTAAAATAAGAGTTCTATTTATTAAATATTTTGTTTTCTTATGTTTAAAAATAATAATAATTCTCATTTCTAGGATAATGGCATCTCCAATAATTATTGAAGGTAATGAGAAATCGTCATCTTTACAATGGTTACTGTCTAGCGTAATAACAATAGCAGATGCTGAAATAGTAGAGTGTCTCTTCAATGACAAGACAGAGAGTAAAGATAATGTTTCTTCTCAGCCACAATATAGTGAAGTGAGTAAATGTGAAATGTTGAAATATAAAGAATATTTCAAAGGTAAATCTAATGTTTTTAAACTTTTTAGATCCTTTGTTTTTCTGTCAATTCTCTAAGATCTGCTGGTAGTAACGTGCCAAATTGGAATGAGCCAAGTATAAGGATAAAATATCACGGAACCGAAAGGACTTCACAGGTACTCATTTATTTAATAAGTCCAATTTAATCTGAATATTAAACTAATTTTATTTATATAAATTTATCTTTAGATGCGCAATCTCAAACAGCCCAACAATAGTATTAACTTACAATTAGGTCCATTCTATTCAGAAGTGGATATTTCAATCCTGGATCGCATTCATACGTTACTGAGGCTACAGTCGTTCTCTACATTACACGAAAAGTATGATGCTAGTCCAAACGCACAATCCTGGGTAAGCATAATGCTAGATACAGGTTTTATGATTTTATTAACATTTACAAAATAATACATTTATGCAATATTTCTGTAGACTGATAAAGAACAAACTACAACTGGAAAAACTGATATAGTATTGAATAGTCCTTTTATTCTTCTATGTTTCCGGTAAACTTACATCTAATAATTAAGCTGTTTTTAAAATTTCATTAATTAATTGAAACTGAATAACACAGATTTCCTATTCCCGATTTGCGGCCATTACATAATATGGATCGTGCGCCATGGTGGCAGCGTAATCTACGAAAAGACTTGTTACTGTTGGAATTGACGGGGGCCACTCTAACTTCTACTCTAGACATTGACGAAACTAGTTACAAATGTGAAATACAATGTCGTGATGCACATGGTAATATAAGATTTACGAACTTCAGATTATTTTAATTTTAAACGTTACAAATATAAAAAAAAATTGTGTTAATATTTTTAGGACTTTTCCAGTCTGGACTGGATGAAACTCCTGTTTCTTTCCTCAGAACATGTGCCGATTCTAACAGTGATGGTTGCACCAAAGACGATGGATTTGATTGGCCAAGGTATATATAATTAAAGTACTCATTAGAGTTCTCCAGAAACATTGAGAACATTTTTGAAGAATTGAATATTATGGAAAATAATTTTTCTCCACTCGTTAGACTTGTTTTTAAAGCAAATCCAATCAGTCAGCACTCAGTTCTTGAAGCAGAAATTTTGCCAGAAAATGATGAATCGCTTCAAATGAATTCTATTATGTGCCATATGGATTTAGGTGAATCTTTACCATTTGTTTCCCGGAGAGTATTTTACGAAACTGATTTACACAGTAACGTGAATGGTAGGGATAAACAGGAAAACAGTTCTAGTTGCGAAGCTGATCAGGTTGCACATTATTTAATGTCCTTTTAATAAAATAATAGTCTTTAAGCTTTATATAAAATTTCAATATTTAATAATACAGGTTATCATGCCTGCTGATAAGTATCAAGTTCAAGAATTTGTTGAGAAAGCAATGAACAATACAAGATATTCCTTAGAATTTTTGCTTCCTAATCTCAACATATTTCTTCCAAGCAAACATTTTTATGAAGAGCTGTATAATAGGTAAAAAAATTTAAAAAATTTTTTTGTTTTTCTTTGTATTATTAATTAAAAAGTGTATTTGTTTTTCATGTAAAGGTTAGCTACAGATCTAGTAATGTGGGAATTGTCAGCTCCAAAAGCTGTGAATCGCTCGGAGAACTTTAACGGGAGGGGTTCTTGTTCTGGATTTGATTTGGCTTCCCAGTTAACACAAGAAACTAGTTGTTTCCAAACCTTTTCTATGTGCAAATCAGCTCTACAATATGGTAAATATTGTTTTTTTTTGTTACATTAATCATTTGTTTTTGTTAAGAATTAATTCTTTTTACTGCTAAATCCAGAATCAAGTTCTGACTCAGAAGAAGGTAATGGTCTTTACTATTCAATAAGTGAACCGTTTCAGAGAGGAAAGAAAAAACATTTTAAAAGACAAGATCAAATTCAGAATCTTCAAAGTAATCTTGTCATTACTGTCAATGTTACTCAGGGAAAAACTACTCTTATAGCACCACTTCGCGTAAGTTATAAGTTTAGTAATGTATCTACCAATTCAGGGATTGAGGTCCAATCTATATTACCATGGTTTATTATTTTTTCCTCATAGGACAACAGTGCCAATGTTGTTCCTGGACAATATGGTGAATTTCAGTTACATGTAGAAGATTCCTTATTTTGTTTTGTTTCAAATTATCATGGAGAGCTTCATAATAATTATGTCTGCCTTCAGTCTAACAAAGCAACATTTTATCACAATGGTAAGATATTGTTCAATGACTTAAGAGTTATCTACTGAGAAACCATCTCTAATGCTATTTAAATATTTTATATAGCATTCTAATCTTAAATTTTTATGAATTATAAGATTATGATGATTTATAAGATTTAAAATTGAAATATATATTTTTAAGGGATGCTTTCAACTATTAGACAACCCCAGAAATTAGAACCTGCTGTCTTGATTCCACCTACTCATCTACATGCAACCATTTATCAGTCTGATCCAGGAATTCCCCAGAAGCAAGGATTTCATGTCGGGAAGGGAGGAGACAGTTTAGATATGTTGTCTGTCGTAATTAAGGTCAACTTAGATGAACAAGCGATAAAGGTATTTATTAAGAATCATTACATCTCGGTTGTTATTATGGTTGTTTCAGCATACACCTTCTTAAAAATCATCATGTTAACAGAATTTTTTGCAATAAAAATAATGGTGCTTATGGGAAGATTAAAGTCAGAGAAAAACCCTTAAAACCTGTTCAGTCTTTCAAAATATTTTATTTTAATCTTTTCCTTAATATTTAAAGCTTTCTTTTTTTAATCACTACTTGGATTCTTATAATTCTGCCTTGTTGTCATTAAGAGTGTCTTTAATCAAGCTTATCACAGATTCAGTTAGGCCCACAATGGCGCATCCAGGTGGTGGGGTGAGGACCATCTTATCCAGGACAGACCATCATCTAAAAAGCTCCTGGGATTTTTGACTAGTCTGAATTTATTCCCAGAGCAGTAGGCTGGCACCTTAACTGCTCATTCATCTAGTTGTTTTTTATTGATTAAAGTATAATAATTTGAAAAAGCAGTTTGATACACACTTGTAAAGTAATGCACATGAATATTACTGGGATATAAGAGAAGATGGTTTGTAGATTTTGTATATTCCTTTCTGGGTTACTATATTCAGTTGAATGCCTTTTGTGTGTTTACCTGGTGTTACACAGTAGTACAAAACATAGCCACATCATGAAAAATTGCATTTGACCTAGCATGATTTTGTTTTGGTGATTTTATTTTCCTATTTACTCATACAAAAAAATTTATGTATCAGAAACACACATTATAATAGAAGAGACTGTGTTTTATATCTTCATTTAATTGAATTAATTCTTTATAATAATTAATAAATTGGGGATGTTGTGGTCTAGCAATACAGCACTGGCTTTGAAACAGCCACGACTATTACTATAAATACTGTAGTTTTAGTTATCAAATAAAATTTCAGCATTCATTATTGACAACAGAATATTTAATTTAATTTAAGAATTTTTAGTTTGTAATAATTTTTATAAATATAAAAAATAAATTCTTGCAGACATTTAAAGTTGCAGTTGGAATTTCGGGTGCCACACTGAGACACTATACTACTACATCACCACAGAATTGGTTAACGCAGTTTGTAGATTTCTTTGATATAGTTGATTATCCCGTAAACGGTTACATTCCTCCTGCCATCATAACTGAATTACATCTTCATCTATGGAGTTGTGCAATAGATTACAGGTATTGTGTAGTATTTAAATGATATTTTGTGAATGAAATAATGTGAGTTAATAATTTAACTATACAAATAGTCTTCTGTTAATTTAACAATTCGGAAGATTACATCGTGCAATTTTTTTAAAAAACACATTCAATCAATGCAATATCAATCTTGAGAAAGATCATTAGCAGAAACTGCAGTATCCTAATGATCTCTTTGAAGAAAACATTAAGGAGACATGGGGATGTTAAGGAAAATCTTAAAATTTTTTCTGCTGTTTGAAAAATAAGTGTTTGCAGAGTTAAAATCTTAATACAGTTGAAGACCTCATTTAAGAAACTAAATTATTATTCATATTTTATGAGTGAAAGAGTATTTGTTTGGCATGTAGATGATGATTTGAAGTGTTTCTGAGTAGTAGTAATTACATGACAAAGAGCTTTTGAGAATATTGCCCTAAGGAATGAATAAATAACAAGAGTCAAAGGAATCTCAAATGTATAGATTGAAACTCAAGAATACATCCAACCATTATTATTATTATTTATATTCTTATAACATGTTAATTTTTGTATAACATGCCAATTTCAAGGAATTAACTACAATATTAACTGAGGACTATCTGTGTGAATGCATGTTTGTTATGCATATATATGTGTAAAAATATTCCACATTACTGAAATTAAATTCTGCTATAAACAGGCCTCTTCATTTACCACTGAGAGCCGTTATTACCATGGAGAATTTTAGCATATCGAGTAATATTGCCGCTAATACAACTACGTCTGTGTTTCGGTAAGAACATTATTTACTAATCTTTACAAATAATGAAATGCTGTTAAATATTCTTTATTTTATGAATAATTTGTTGATATTATTACAGAATTATTGCTGAAGAATTGTGTCTTCTCATTTCAAACAATACAGAAGCAGAGAAGGTTGATTTAAAAAAAAGTCAGTTTATTTTTTTATTTTCAATAATAAAAATATATTTTGCTTCAGTAAAATATGCATTTAATGTTGTAACACCAAATTAAAATACAATACAAGTCATAGAATTATATTAGTCAATTTATAGAGGGGAGGAGGGTATTATGGAATACCATTTACATTTCTAAAAATAACTTTACTGGTGTTTGAATAAAAATCCCAAAATCATTATGAGTACATACTATAACTAATTGTAATGAATTGTCACTTGTAAAAAAAAATACTATTTATTTCGTTTTAAAAAGTCAATTTTTCAAAAAAAATATTTCCTCAAAAAATTGACAAAACTTCATGGGTTAATTCCACAGAAATAACCGCCGGAAAAAAACGGCAGTTATTTCTGTGGAATTAACTCATGAAGTTTTGTCAATTTTTTGAGGAAATTTTTTTTTTGAAAAATTGACGTTTTAAAAGAATATAAAGAAAACTGCACCATTGATATAATACATATCTATTACTTTTACTTATAGTAGATAATACTATTTATTTTGTTGTTATAAAAAAATGTATTTAAAAAACACAAATGGAGGGTAATATGGAATAGGTGGTTTAAACCATTAAAAAACTAATTATACTTCATAAAACAGTTATTCTTAACTATAAAAACCATATTTTTAAGATTATGTGCATGTCATTCCTGCTTCGAGTCTGTTTACAAAAGTCACAGATATAATTTTCTTTCTCTGCTCCGGTACAATTAAGGTGAGTCCACAGAGAATAGCTGAAGCATTGAATCCAAATTTTCCCTCGTTCATCTTTGGAGAATTTTCCATTACAGAAGATACATTCAGTGTCTTCGTTTTCTGGTTCTTTAGTTGATGGCATAAAGTCCATTACAGATGATACATCAGAATGGAACAATTCATCGCTGCTAACACTGGAGTCATCTCTAGTAGGTTTAGGTTTAGGTCTAGAAGGTCGGTCTAAGTTTAATTTCTTAACAGGTGGTCTTTGAATGTTCAGTTTCTTTTGTTGTTTTGAAGCTTCTGGTTCCTTCTTTTTGTCCTTTTCTTTAAGTTTATCCATTTAACCTAGTATTCCATAATACCCGACATGAAATCTTGGAAAATGAACCTTTAAACTGATGGACAAAACATTGTCAGCTAAAAAACGACTACAGTATAACAAACTACAATTCTTTTAGTGTACATTATGCTTAACATCAATGTTCAAGTCACATGTGTACTAGTAGGTTAAAATGTTTGAAAACTTGCCTGCAAAAACTCTTGAAAATCACAAAACACACTTTATTCTGTAGCGAGTGGTACGACAACGACAAGCGGTCAACTCTCACTGCACTGCATCGTGGGAGTCTTTTTTGAGTAGTTCATGGTATTCTCACGAATAGCAGCAACAAATAGAACCGAAACCTCGGTATTCCATATTACCTGACTGTTCCATAATACCCTCCTCTCCTCTACATCTAAATTTATATTATCACATATTTTAAATATTAACATTACTTTATTAGAACAAAATTGAAATTCTCTACTACATGATATGTTTCTGGGATTAGAACAATAAATGTAATCATTATAACATTGAAATTTTAGGCATGAAAATAATTAATAAATATCATATTATTAGAAAGTAAAAAGCAATATTTAACTATGTTTACTACATTTTCCTAAATCTTAACATCTAGAACAAGACTGAGCCAAATTTTGTCATGATAGGAGCCGTATAATGCCTATCAGAAATATGAAAGCAACATTCTCTGTTGAAATTATATAATACGATATTGCTGTTTATAAAAAATATTACTGTTAGGTTAAGAATGTTTATGTTTAGATAAGTTTGTAAGAAAGGCTATGCAATAGAACTTTAAGAAAATAAGTTTACTACAGTTTATAACTTTAACAAATATTACAAAACCCGATATACTTGTAATATGCAAACAATCACTGAATTACATCGGGCTACTTTTCTGTGATAATATTTAATTAATTTCTAAATAATTTGACACTGGAGGAAGGCATTAGGCACTATCTCTTATTAAATTTAATAATTATAATTAAATTAAAATTTATTAAATAATTAGAATATTCTGGAAGAAAAGAATCTGCCTGGAGCATAGTAAGAACCTGCAACTTACTTTAGAAGGTTTGGATTTGAGTTAGGACACTGTTTAAAATTTTATTTTTAACAAATGTACCCTTAGCTTACAGTTGCCTTTTTAAGTTATGAATTACACTTACAATCCATGTGTAAATCACATTACATAATAAGTCAGCAAACTTACAAAAATATTACATATATGTAAGTGTGTAACAAGTTTATTAAAAGAAATTGTATAAAAATGAGAGAGACAGTTGCAAGCTACAGTTTGGCTACCATAGATCTAAAATGATGAGGAATATGTTTAGAAACAATAAAATAATGAAACCATAAAGCACGTACAGTGCATATAATTATAAAATATTTTTGTGTACTTTCCATTATTTTAGTATATGTGTGATTAGCAGTGGGCCACTGGGCTCATCCCAAATGACCACTTACTCTGCAACAGGTTGGTAAAACCCATTCTCGGCTTGTTGGATGGCTAGGAGGGCAAAAATTTGAGTGGGGAGTGCGTCAGTAAGTCGGCAGGTGTCCTTCAGAGACAGGAGACAGGTTTAAAAACTAAACAAGCATTTATTTATATAACTAAGCTAGGATACATAGGTTAAATGCAATTAAATAAATTCACTATACAAAAGGGATACTCTAATAGCTTTACCTGCTAGTCTGAGAGAGATTTCACAAAGCTCTAAAAAGTACAAATACCTCTATGCGGATATGTCTAATATGCGTTTGTTGAATAGGTTCGTTAATGGCGATGGAAGTTCAAATGGCTGTGGTTGGTTGTATGTCCTGTCGGTCCGGAGTATGGAGACAAATATGACACATCTACCAAGTATAACTTCCGAGGGATCGCCCGGAGCTTTCGGAGACTCAAGCTTTTATACGTTATTCGTGGGAAATGAGTCACGTGATTGACTTCAGTTGGCACTTACGGTGCATTCCGATCAACTAACTGTCAACTTTCCCACCTTAATGTGAAAACAATCGGTGACCTCCGATATACTTCTCACCAAGAGTGGGTTTTCCATTGGAGTTGTTTACAAAGATTTTTCTGACATCGGTGTAAAAATCGCGGATTTCACATATGTAAAGTTTTTAAACTTTTCATGGTCTTAAGCTGTAAGATGTAAGAGGTATTTCTTCTTCCTAAAGTTGTAATAATTTTAAAAGCCTAAGACTAGATTGTGGCTGGTTTTGCTTATATGCAAATTCAACACTAGCTCTTCTATATTGTTTTCTGTGTTATCATCATTAAAAGTTACTCTAGAAGTACATCTTTTTGTACATTTTAATTATATAAAACTGTCTTAAGTAAATTGATCAGTTGTTTAAAAAAATTATTTAATGAAATATAGGTAAATATTTCAGTTGATCAACCATTCAGAATTAAAATATTTTACTTTTATAACCTTGAGTACATAATGACAAAAAGCCATTAGTAACATTTCTGCTCAAAATCTTCACTTTCTATTTTTTCCATTAATTATGAGAACAAAATATGCAACATACTCAGAAAAAAAAGCAAAAATATTCATTTTTATTATTGTTTAATACAAAATTAGCATACAGTAAGACCCCGCTTAATGGTGCCTCGCTTAACACTGATTCAGTATAATGCTGTCTGCTTGAAGCTTAAAAAAAAAGCTAAAAATTTATGCTAATTTAAATTATCGCTGCATTTTATTGATTCATACATAATACAATTATTTATGAACACGAACCAATCAGAAAAAGGTGGCCAAAAGATGTATTTTCTTTAAATCTATGTTTGTTTGGTGCAATTTTGGAAAAAATATAACATCATGGATGCCATAGGCAATAGCGAGGTTGAGGCTGAATTTTCACTGCAAAAACTTGTACGTCAGACGTTCAGCGCCACTTTCCTGTAAGCCTAGAAGTTTGACAGTGGTGTTTGGAATGTCGAGCATGATTCCATTGACTTTTTTTTTTTTTTCATTGAGTAATCATCATTTCCCCTACTAGAGGATCAGAGTCCTCCCTGTCCCGCTATCGCACCACAGGGAAAACGTTTCTTTATTACAATGTTTCATTACAAACAGATAAAACAACAAGTTTTCATTACAAAATATATAAAATTAACATTAAACTATTGGCGCGCTCTTGCTTGCCTTACAGAGGCCACCGGAAGCTTTCCGGTGCAGTAGGCTTGGGGTACACTTTCCCCAACCTTTACATCAATATCCTTCTAAAGAAGGAGAATAGATCGCAAGTAAGATTTTTATCTCGTATCATTAGATATAAGTCCAGATTAGAGTTAGTGCTGCTTAGTTGATGGATCGCTGAGAGCTCAACTCTCTGTTGTTCATATCTGTAACATTTACTTAACAGATGATCCATGTCTTGTAACTCTTCGCCACAAACGCAACTACTGTTCTGTTTTTTACCAATACGCTGTAAGTATGCGTTGCAATTACCGTNTGGGTGCACACGTAGGTAACGTGTTCTTCTGTATCTATTCTGCATCTCTTATGCGATGTCATGTAATGGATCACCTCTTCGCGGATACCTTCCGCGGTTTTCACCTGCTCGTCTTCAGGCAGGACTTCCATTTCTTCAGGTGACGACAACTCGTCGTCGGAAACAAGTAAATGCGGCCTTTTAGCCGACATAGTCCTGAAAAGGACTGGAAAGTCTTTGATCGCAGTTGTCGCTTAGTTTCGCCCTTTCGGGCTACTTGCGGGCAGGACCATGTGGAGGTGCGACACTACTTCCCCTGGACTGTTATAAGTGTTAAAAAGAGCAAGACTAAAAGAGCGCAGCGAAATTCGCCAAAGAATAGCCAGTGAAGCTCAAAAGAACGCAAAACAAATCAATGGGGCACCCTGCCCGATTCCATTGACTATCCAAACACCATTGTCAAACTTCTAGACGTACAGGAAAGCAGTGCTGAATGTCCGACGTACATGTTTTCATGATTAAAACTTCGGCCTCAACCTCACTAATATCGGCTTCACTTGGCAAGAATTAACTGATAAATGCACGAACAAAGTGTGGAAGAAGTTATGGCTGCAGGTATCCAAGAATTTTCAACGAGAAGAGCCTATTACTGTATCGTTAGGTTGATCAAACTCAACCTAATTGATACAGTAAGACTAGAAGATGTAGATGAACAGGATATTGAGGAGTTACCTCAGGTTTCTGGTGAGAGCCTTACCAATGATGACCTTCAAGAACTGGCAGAACAAGGAATCCATGTAGAACTGGAAAATAGTGATTCTGAAAACAAAGAACCCAAAAAATTTCTCTACAGATTTCCTTAGTAAAAGTTTGGTAACGATAACCGAAATTGTTGATCAAATTGTAGCAATGATTTAGATTTTGAAAGGAGTGCAAAAGCAAAACGAAGCATTTTGTATGCGATCTTCTGCTACCGACATTTTCTTAAGGAAAGAGAAAAGTGACAAATGAAACTTCATGTCTTTATTGCAAAAAAACAAGAATTTCAGAAAAGTGAGGACCTTCGTCACAAAAAATGAACTTTATATTTCTGTGTGCATATGTTTATGTGTTATTTAACATATATTATTATACAAATTAATATAAAAATAACTTAAATTTAAAGTAAAATTTTTTTATTTTAGGTCGCATGTCTCCCTAACCCTATTTACTCTATGTTAAAATTACCTTGTTTAACACTGTTTCATTTAGCGCTTTGCTGTCTAGGAACACATCCCTTGCTTTAAGCGGGATCTTACATTATTTGTTATATAAATATTCAATTTTATTGTTTTTTAGATTATGTGTGCGTTGTTGATACAGGCCTATTTGATTTATCGCTTAGAATGACAGACAATAAAGATTCTGTGAGTATTTTCAAAATGATTTTCTCCTTACAAATTTATCAATTGCCAATCTAATCACTATATTTTACAGTCTCATCCAAAATTAGATTTAAGAGCCATGAACAATATGGTTCATATCAGAACGTGTGCCGATTCCTGCCGTGCTCTTCAAAACTTGATAACCTATTTTGCTAATGATGGGGACTTATTATCAGATACTTCGCTTCTGAAAGGAACAGAGGTTAGTATGAAACTATAAAGATAATAGCAGAAATTTAATTCGTAATTTATTAAATATATAGAAGCTCTTTATACATTTAGGTACCTATTTTAATTACTGAATCAGATGGTCATGGAATAATCAATCTATCAAAATCTCAAGTTGCGCAGGTTAATGACCTTATGGCAGAAGCTATGAAAGAATCATCTAATGGATGTAGCTGTTGTTTAAGTAAATATAATTAATACAAATATTGTAAATGCTTAACGTTGTGTGATTATTCATGCAAAGTAGGATTTTCGACAGATGATAATGGAAATAAAGAATTTCATTCGGAAATGGATCATTTTGGAACGGACTCGCCCACAAATGAATTCCACTCACCTAATCTCTCACAGGAGAATACAGTCACACTCCAGACAGAAATTGACAGATATAATGAAGACATAATGGCAAGTGATGATGAAACTATGGATGAACCAAGTGCAGATGATGAATTTTGTATTTTAGAGAATGATCCTGGAATTGGAATAACAGTAACTATTTTAAATATTTTATGAATTTATAATTTATATGTCTTGTACTTTGATTGATTTGATCACAAAAACTCAATGACGTTTTTAGATGATTATATTTCCATATAATCATCTAAAAACATGTATTGATTGACTACAAGCTTAGAAACAAAGTTTTGGTTGGCCTGAATTGAATTTTTAGGTTTCATTACTGTTATAAATTCTTTTTGTCTATATTTTTATTTTTGAGAATGCTAACATTGCTTGGAACCAATGAACAACAGTAAAAGCCTTACTTTAACAAACATTCATTAAAGAACAAATTATATAGATGCATTTTGAGAGTAGAATTTTACATTAAAATTGATTGCATAACTGATCATAACTGATTACATTAATATAATCAGCTATATAAGTTTTGTATACCTATATAACCTCATATTGGTGTAAAATAAGCAGTAATACAGAGTCATACAAAATGAATGTTACCACTAAATTATCTGAAAAACTGTCCAAGTTTAGCATTTGCTCATTACAGTTTCTCATCACATGCATATGTCACACAGCACACATCTGACCGATATTCAAACACTTCCTAAGCTTATTACAGTATATCCATTGTTGCTCCACCGAAGGCAGCCACAATTCTGCAGCACCTGCAGATTATTCACATTGCACAATGATGAATGGTTCTGTCTTTGCAAGCTGCAGAATACAAAGTGCCTTCTCTGTTTCAGAGTTGCCAGTTTCTTCCAAGAGATTTGAACAAGATGTTCAAATGCAAGTCAGAGATGAAACTTGGACCATTACTCTATCGATTGGCATACATTGGATGATAATTAATATAAGTACCGTAATTTAAAATGGTAGCATTCATTTTGGAAGATCCTGTACTAAGCCAATATTTTTATCTGTGAATATAAGATATTGATTTATACAAGTATTGAATATTTAATTTTGTTATTTTTGAAAAATAAATTAGAAGGGATTACTAAACCTGCATTCTTTTTTAGCCAAAAAGTGGAGAACCACAAGTTCGTGTTCTAACTACAGAACCACTCCGACTCATTGAAAACCATTTCTCTGTCCCACTCGGTAAGATGGACGAACTAAGATCACCAAAAAATTTTCCTCCTCCAGTTTTGAGATACATATTGAGAGAGATGTCAATTGTTTGGCATATGTATGGTGGACATGATTTTGATGTTCCTAAAGTGAAAAATGAGAAAGGTAAAAAAAATTTAAATTGAAAGTTTCTGTGTGGTCCAATCTACATGAAATTTAAACTGTAATAATTTTAAGATGTTTTATTTACAAAAATTAATTGTAAATAAAAATAGATAAAAGAGCAAAAATCACCAAATGAAAAAGTTTACTCGCAAGGAGTAAACTTGTTGACATCAAGTGCCAGTTGTGCTACATGTCACAGGAAACACTTGAACATTTACATACTATGGATTTATTTGAAACTCCTTGCTATCTAAACTTCTTACTTAGTTATTCTGTATTAAATGACATAGGTTCAATGCTAAGAGTCTTATTTGTTATATAAATTAAGCTTTAGTCATTCTAAATTTTTTTACAGGTAAAGAAAAGCATGTAACACTTCAAGATGACAAGCGAGACAGGTTTGATATTATGAGCACTTGATACTCTATGTATATACATGTAAATCTTCAATGTAAAATTTAATATTTTTAGATATGAATCCAGCACTGAAAGCAGATTATATGGACCCGTTCTTCACTTACAACCTCAGGGAGTCTCTGTAGGATTTACAAAGATTGGGGAAGAAGACTCAATCTGGACCAATGTTTTAGCATCTCCAAAAGTATCAACTAAAAATAACATTCCTAAAAGCTGGTTGATGCGAGGAGGAGTGGGAAGAATGCATGATGTTGTTATGGAACTGCAGATGAATAAGGTTACTTATATTCAATATACTTTATAATAATGACTACTGTTTGACTCATTAACTCAAAGTGGAATAGATAAAAAATTTTGAGTTAACGATACAACTAATATTGTAATGAAATTGTAAATGTCATAAAACAGACGTTATAGACATATATATATATTTACATACAATGAATTTATCTGTATATGTGGGTACATGTACAAAATAACAAAACATTGACACTATTTGTGATAAAGTCTAAAGGCAGCTCCACACATTCTGTACTAGCTGAATATTGAGCAAACATATTGCCAATATTGAGTAATGTTGATGATTTACTCATGACTTTGTTCAACAAATATTTGGAATTCACCATTTCCCACTTTTTGTTGACATATTGTGTTGAAACAAAAGGGACAAATCTACTTGGTATTGGTCTTTATTGGGTAGGTTTGTTTGCTAGCATTCAGTGAATACCAAATATGTAGAGTCACCTTAATACAAATTTGTTATCGATAATTTATTACTGATTGCCCAACAATGTTATTTGATCTGTCAACTGTCTCATAAGCATCTTGTTTATGAACAATGTAGTTTGTAGAAAGTCCCTTAAAAAGTTTGAAAGCTTTTCTAGCTTTCCCACATATAGTGGAAGCAGGATATTTGTCCATGGCAGGACCTGTTCTTCATTTCTGTCAGTTGTTTCTTGGGCTTGTTTCTTTGCTTCAGTAATGATGTCATCAGTAGAAAGTTAGACCATTGTTAATATTGACAAATTCTTTGAATGACACTACTTCATTACTTATTGTAATGAGATTGGCCCAACTTCTTTGATATAGTTCATGGATTCTGGTGGAAATTCCTATTTATTTGAAGTGTGAACAAATTGTCAACCAAAATCTGCCTTTGTGAATCAATTTGCAATGATGCTTTGTGAAATTTCATTTGAAGTTTTGTTAATCAGTTACTCCAAACTCGTGATCCATCTTTGATAATATGCAATATCTTTTTTAATTTAAAGTTGAGTGATTCCTCAATATAAAGGTTGGAATAAGTTGTAATTGAGGTAAAAATTGAACTGTTATAGCTTTCAGAGTATCATTGAATGTGTACTACATTGTCAATAAAAAGAACAATTATTCTGTTTTTAGAATCATGTGGGTGTCTAACTTTCTCAGCAGTTAGGGGGGAAAACTATCATTATCCATACTTCCTTATTTGCTACATATTATGTAAGTAATGTCTTAGCATTGTAGAAACATTTAGGCATTAGATTTTTCAGTCAGTAACTATGGCAGTTTTTCATTATCTGTCATGTTTTCTCTCAAAAAAATTATATAATCTTTGCTTTTTTTTACATCTGTGACACAATTCATCTTTGAACATAATTGTTTTATCTGACAGATATTTAAAAATATAAGCCTACTTCATGTGTTTAAAAATATCTTCTGGCCTATAGTGCTGTAAAATTCAACCACTTTGCACAATTTTACTTTTTCATTTCTGCACTTTTACCACAAATTTTATTGAAAACTCTTCTGTGCTTATTAAATTTATCCAGTTACCTGCTCCTTGCTTTGAATCTAGAATGTCCCAACTATTGTCCAAATTTTTTAGTTTTTTCTCTAAAAGTTTTCCATTGATGAGAATATATTTGTCATTATATTGGACAAAGCATTTCAAGCATGCACTTTTTAGAATGCAAATATTCACATTTACAGTATATACTTTACAAAGAACAGAATATCACATTTATGCTTTATTGTCTGATTCTGTTGTTTATTGAAAGTTTACTGAAGAATCTTCTCCATTATTTTGGATATGTAGAGAAAGTATTCAATGAAATATCAAATTCTTTTGTGATTTTTGATTATTTGGCTTTTCACCATGGTCCATATTATAAATATCTTTTCAGCTATTGATGAAATTTTACTTTTCTCTTCTTCACCACTTTACTTTATGATGATTAATGATTACATGATTTGATTTTATGATTATATGATTGATTTTATGATGATTACAAATGATTGATACACCAATTAACTGATCACTACAGCAATAAAAATATCAGCCTGTGGTTCAAATTTACAGTATATTTGGTTCCAAATAAAGAGATATATATAGACAAACTCATAAATTTGATTGGCTAATAATTAAAGTAATAATCATTGTAAACCACAGATTGTTACTTTACAGGTGAAATATCATTAAAAGTTTGAACTTATGTCATGAAATCAGTCTTTATTATATAACAGTTTTTCTCAATCTCTAACGAATCATCGCCCCCTTCAATAAAACCGTTACATAGTATCGCCCCCTTCACTTCAAAATTTGGATGCCCAGGGCCAAGGCTAACGCCAAATTCGTGCTGCATTGAGTAGACTAGTGACTAGAATAATGTTATTTGTTTAATTATTGTACGATATAACGAATAAAATATCTAATTATTCTTAATATAATGTTTTACTATATAGTCCAGAAAATTGTTTNCCTTTCCTTATTATATTATCAAGGGTATGCTTACTGATAGTTTCGATCTCTCTTCTGGAGTCTGCGCCGAATATAATAATTGTGTCGTCTGCGTAAGCAAGTTCAGCTACCGCTGGATGTTTGTCCATACGCAGAAGCTGATCGTAAGCCAGATTCCAAAAGAGGGGCCCCGAGTTAGAGCCCTGCGGGCACCCTCTATTCAATGCTTTAATAACTTCTGCTCCATTGGTATTATATATTATGCTGCGATTGTACAAATAGTCCTTCACCAGATAAAATATATTTTCAGGACATTTCGCTTCCCTGAGTGACTGGATAATCAGGGGCCACCATGTGTGGTCGAATGCGCCCCTTATGTCTAAACTTATTGCGCAACAATACTTTCTATTTGCCAATATGTACTCGATCTCGCTGATCACTTTGTAGATAACATCGTCAGTACTTCTATCGGGAAGAAACCCGAATTGTTTAGCAGATAAATAATTTGTTTTAACTATGTGCTGTAAGATGTAAGAGGTATTTCTTCTTCCTAAAGTTGTAATAATTTTAAAAGCCTAAGACTAGATTGTGGCTGGTTTTGCTTATATGCAAATTCAACAGTAGCTCTTCTATATTGTTTTCTGTGTTATCATCATTAAAAGTTACTCTAGAAGTACATCTTTTTGTACATTTTAATTATATAAAACTGTCTTAAGTAAATTGATCAGTTGTTTAAAAAAATTATTTAATGAAATATAGGTAAATATTTCAGTTGATCAACCATTCAGAATTAAAATATTTTACTTTTATAACCTTGAGTACATAATGACAAAAAGCCATTAGTAACATTTCTGCTCAAAATCTTCACTTTCTATTTTTTCCATTAATTATGAGAACAAAATATGCAACATACTCAGAAAAAAAAGCAAAAATATTCATTTTTATTATTGTTTAATACAAAATTAGCATACAGTAAGACCCCGCTTAATGGTGCCTCGCTTAACACTGATTCAGTATAATGCTGTCTGCTTGAAGCTTAAAAAAAAAGCTAAAAATTTATGCCAACTTAAATTATCGCTGCATTTTATTGATTCATACATAATACAATTATTTATGAACACGAACCAATCAGAAAAAGGTGGCCAAAAGATGTATTTTCTTTAAATCTATGTTTGTTTGGTGCAATTTTGGAAAAAATATAACATCATGGATGCCATAGCGAGGTTGAGGCTGAATTTTCACTGCAAAAACTTGTACGTCAGACGTTCAGCGCCACTTTCCTGTAAGCCTAGAAGTTTGACAGTGGTGTTTGGAATGTCGAGCATGATTCCATTGACTTTTTTTTTTTTCATTGAGTAATCATCATTTCCCCTACTAGGGGATCAGAGTCCTCCCTGTCCCGCTATCGCACCACAGGGAAAACGTTTCTTTATTACAATGTTTCATTACAAACAGATAAAACAACAAGTTTTCATTACAAAATATATAAAATTAACATTAAACTATTGGCGCGCTCTTGCTCGCCTTACAGAGGCCACCGGAAGCTTTCCGGTGCAGTAGGCTTGGGGTACACTTTCCCCAACCTTTACATCAATATCCTTCTAAAGAAGGAGAATAGATCGCAAGTAAGATTTTTATCTCGTATCATTAGATATAAGTCCAGATTAGAGTTAGTGCTGCTTAGTTGATGGATCGCTGAGAGCTCAACTCTCTGTTGTTCATATCTGTAACATTTACTTAACAGATGATCCATGTCTTGTAACTCTTCGCCACAAACGCAACTACTGTTCTGTTTTTTACCAATACGCTGTAAGTATGCGTTGCAATTACCGTGGCCAGTTAATACTTGGCTAGTAATGTGGTTTATAGGAATCCAGTGTAAGTCTTTAATTCGTTCTTCGAGATTCGGTAACAACCAAAATGTATGTCTCCCTTTGCTGGAGTTAGTCCACCTGTCTTGCCATTCCGAAATGGTGACACTTCTAAGTTTATATTTTACTCCCGAGAGAGGGAGTTTGCTATAAGTTATATCCGCTAGATGGGCAGCCTCCTTAGCTGCCCGATCCGCAATTTCATTCCCAACAATGCCCGAGTGGGCTTTCACCCAACGAAATTTTATATTAAGTTTATATTTCCGTATAGTAGTTTTTATGTTGACTGCAGTTAAACTGGTATCTTGAAACCTCTGGAGTGCATGAATTGCCGATCTACTGTCTGTGGTTATCAATACCTTGTTCGATTCACAATTAACTGAGATCCATTCAACGGCCATCTCTATTGCTTTTAATTCGGCCTGAAACACCGAACAACTATCGCTTAGTCTGATTTTATCTTCATAAACTTTGTTCTCGTTGTTAATAACAACAAAGGCCGCTCCAACCTTCCCGTCTACTTTGGAGCCATCTGTAAACACCTCCACCTCACCTCGCTCCTCTTCATGGGCAGTTTGAATCTTTTGTCGGTAGTATGGTTCAGGAAGTTCAATCATTGATGGTTTCAGGTCAACTTCTGGCCCAGCTATTTCCTGTCCTTCCACTGTAATCCTTACACCCCTTCTG